GATAGGCACTAGTTGAATGACATTTTACAAACCTATTGCTTGTAACCTTATCTTGAGGCATATTTAAATTGTAGGTATTTCCTTTAATGAATAAATTATATTATATTCAAAGTTTGTGAACCATACTGAGTGTAAGAAATAAAATATAGAATTAAAACTGCAACACCTAGATTAAATGTGAACTTGATTTCCCTCAGACAAACCATGGATCGAGGACACACTGAAGAGTGCAACAAGGACGTATCAATTATAAAGGCAAAGGAAAATCAAGCAGTTTTGTCGATGGCTCAACGTGAAGGAAACTTATACAAGGTCATGTTTCGTCAACCATCTGAGAATATCAGTCTGATTGCAACTTCAATTGTCACTTGGCATGAAAAGCTTGCACATCAGAACCTGAAGTACGTGAAGGAAATTTTGAAGAAAAATAACATCAAGTTGATAGACAACTGGAACAAACAAGTTTGCAACGCATGTACTTTGGGCAAGCAGCACCGAATTACACACCCTGTGAATGAAAAAACAGCTGTTCAACCATTCCACTTAGTTCACATAGATCTTAGAGAAATAAAAGAAAGATCAGTCGGAGGAGCGAAGTACTTTCTGATATTCAAGGATGACTTTCGAACCGTCTACTATCTTCAATCCCGACGTAGCCAACCTCAACGTGATAGGCACGTTAGCTTAATCGAATAAAATAATTCTGAATTCACGTCCCTTAACACCTCTCTCATCTGACCTTCTTCCCCTTACCCGTGGTCACTTCCTTATAGGTGGTTTATTACGGACTGTACCTGAACATGATACAACGACCATACCGACAAACAAACTTTCTCAATGGCAACACATCCAAAGGGTCAAATTTCATTATTGGAAACGGTGGTATAAGGAATACCTAAACACGTTACAAACACGTAGGAAATGGCACCGTGGTAATACGACAACATTAAAGGTTGGAACCCTTGTGACAATTAAAGAAGACAATTTACCTCCGTTACAATGGAGTATGGGCTGTGTCATCGCAAGTAGTAAAGTATGCGGGGTTCTATATCTGGGTCACGGCTCCCCAAATCTAGGCCATGATCCATCCATCAACATCTTACCACTTTTGGATCTTTAGAAGGTCTTTCTAGGTCATTCTTCATCTGAAGAGGTTAGACCATGCCCCTTTTGTCAACAATACCAGAAACTCTTGTTGAAGNGAAACATCGGCGAGACGCCTTCAGCTTAACGAAGGGAGAGTTATGTATTATGTCTTATTTTTAATATAAAGAAGCTATTGTACAACTTATGCACTGCGTTGCATCTTGATTATGTCAGCAAGACATGATATTATAAATACTCCTGTCAAGAATTGTTTTACTCACTTATACAAGTGTATTGGTCTTTGCGACATCTCATTTGTGAGTCATCTTTCAACTTTTGTTTAAATAAAGTTTTTCTGTTTTTTAAAAAACGGATTTTTACTTTAAACAAAAATAACTCGCGGTTACGATATACATTAGATACAGAATTTTATTAACCTACTAATAGAAATTATTGAAAGTAGAGCATTTACTTGTATGGAATTAACATATACGAGGTCAGTTCGAAAAGTATTGCGAATTTTGAATTTCCGCGGGTTACATATATTCAATTTTCAATTTTTTTATGGCGTTATGTTGGTATTCATGTTTGTCACTTATACCGACAAGCTCGGTCATGTTGAATGTTCAGTTTATTTTTGACAGCTACTTTGCTTGCACGTGCTTTGGCTCGTCTTCGATTTTCGCTTATTCCAAAAAATGGATCAAAGAATCTGTATCAAGTTTTGTGCGAAAAACAAAATTAAATGCGCGGACGCATTTCGAATGTTGACTGTGGCATATGGTTAAGCTACCTTTGACCGAAGCAACGCTTATTGGTGATACAAAATGTTCTCAGAGGACCGAGAAAATGTGCACAACGAAGAACGTGCCGGACGCCCGAGCACGTCAACAACAAACGAAAGCATTGATGAAAGTGAATCATCGAAACACCGTTAGAGAATCTGCGAAGGATCTAAACATATCGATTGGCTCCTGCCATTCGATTTTTACCAATAATTTGTGCTTGGGGCGGGTTGCCGCGAAATTTGTACCAAACTGCTCAATTTCGACCAAAATCAGCATCACATTAACTCTGCCGAGGAGCTGTTGGATTCGGTCCGCGGTTACCCAAATTTGCTCCAGGGGGTCATAACTGGTGACGAATTATGAGTTTATGGTTATGATGTGGAAACCAAAGGTCAATCATCCCAATGGAAGCTGCCACACGAGATCTAAAAAAGCGTTCCAAGTTAGGTCGCATATGAAGGTTTTGCTTACAGTTTTCTTCGATTGCAGTGGCGGGGTGCATCATACGTTCTTTCCACAGGGTAGAACGGTCAATATGGAATGTTACCTGCAAGTAATGCGCAATTAAACTGAAGAGGCCCATGAAAGGACGACGCTACGCTACGATAAAGAAGATAAAGAAGGCATCGAAAGAGGAGGAACAAGATGACAAGGAATTATTTTTTGAAGGGCTTCGGGGATTGTAAAAAACGTTAATATTTGATGGGGATTGCTTCGAAGGGTACAAAATAGATATTCATAAATAAATAACAAATTTTTGAGAAAACTCAAAATTCACGATACTTTTTGAATAGACCTCCTATTATTAAATTATGATGCAGCAGAAAATGCACTCACGACATGTCAGCTGTATCGTAATGTGTGACCTGTTCGAGGGCAGCCAAATCGGCAAACAATATTAGTGTGTGTGTGTGTATTCTATTAACATTATGAAACGGAAAATGCGATGCAGTTTATTGATGAAGACCCCACGAAGAGCATTTGCCGAATTGTACAACAACTATCTTTGCGTACAGTGAACAGATCATTAGCTGCGCGGATAGCGTATTGTACTTGCCACCTGATGGTTTACCCGCCTTACTCAAAAAGCGATTTGATTAATATAATTTACTTTGCCATAATAGGTCCTAAAGTAAAACTACAGGGTTATTTAATAAAACATAAATAAAAGAAAATATGACTTCATGAGTGTTATCTTCTTACTTTAGCATTATAATCCTTCAAAATGAAAATTGGCAAAAATAAATAAACAAATTAAAAAAATCCACACTGGGCCCAAAACAAACGCGGATCGGCGGTGGAGCATCCATACCACTCGGTCAGCGTTACTTTCTCCAAGGTACTTTCAAAAAAGAGAAGCTTGTTGTCATGTTTAGACGCGTGAATGGAAGCGTAATAATACTTACGACTGGCTGAAGGAAGTACTATATTCGCATACGGGTATCAATGTAGTTTCTCCATTAGAACAGAGTGTTTTTTCAATGGTATATAGGTACCTTCGAACCAGTGGCGTGGTCAAACCATTCATCTAATCAGATTTATATTTGCGGAGTCATGTAAAAGAATTGGTATACATATCGCCTATTACCACGATATATGAATTACGAATTCCCAATGCCAATGCTTTTCTTACAATTAAAGTTACTCCCGATATGTGGGACAAAATTCGACAAAACAGCATACGTTTCTGTCATTTTTGTACTGAAGCTAACAGTAGGTAATTTCAACATTTTATGAAAGGTAGTGATTTATATTTCACTTTGAATTTTTTACAACGTGGAAGTGCATTGGACCCATTCCCTAATAGGTAAATAAGTAACTTACCAATTTGATGAGCGACATGCAGGTACTTACGCGAATCAGATTCTACCGTTCTACAACAGAAGAGTTAGTTAACTAGATGTAGACTCGTATTCAAACAAATTATGGGTTCAGATTTAATTATATTTGTATGGCGATTTTAATTGTACTGCAAAATATGTAACAATTTTTGTTGTATTTTTTGCTAGAAAGTTACAATTTCTTATTGATTAAGCTGCACGCTGTATATCTGTTTGTAGATAATTTTATGTCTATAATAATCATTTTTAAAAGGATACATGTATCTTTAATGCTGTATAAAAAGGGTAATAGCGTTTAAATAATTTATTAAGGTACTTTAGGGTTGACGGTATGTCAGTTAATTTTATTTCATACAACCGCTTCACTAAAGTCCACAGTTGATGTTATCAAATTTAAATTCTTTCTTAAGTTATTGAATTGAAAATATATTTATGGATTCTAAAAGAGAATATATTAAAACTAAATGTTATTTACAATTTTACAATATTTAAAATTTCAAAAGCCTATAAGGATTGAAGATGCCCTACAAATTGTAGTAAATCATTAATAGTCCTTTACTAATACGGATAAGCCGACAAACAGGAAGGTTTTCAGATTTTGCAGTCAGGGATACGACTAGCAAGACGATGTACCGCATATAATTTTGTTTCTTTTTATTCAAAAGTAGAGAAACAAATGTGCTCTTTTCGTCAAGTGCTTATTGATTTAAACCTAATAGCAGCGCGCGACATCTATAATATTTTCCATGAACGTTTTGGAAAATATGTTGCGAGTAGATAATTACAGATAATTTCCCGAAAATTTGTGTTCTGATTCAGTTTCCTAGCTTTACTTGGCTTTACAGGTGACTAAGTATTAATTTGTTTTACTTATTAATAGATTGTAGCAGTAGCTCAAAAACAATTTATTCGGCCGAGCTTTATTTATAAGAAATAATTTTTAGAAAGTAACGGTTTGGTGAAGGCGCTGCACATAACAAAATTTGAGTTGTTGAAATTTAATTCAGTTCTTTAAATAAAGTGATGTTTCACTTTTTTCTACATTTTTACATATGTAACAAAATTGTCAATGAAAGTCAATTTTCCATTGAATTATTTTAATGAAGTAGGTAATTTAGAAAGTGATTTCTATGTGTAAAGTCAAATTCAAGAAAGGTTAAACTATTTTTGTACATGTATTAAATTAATATACATTAGATACATGAATTGACATAATTGTTTGAACAATAAAAGCAGTAAATTACTTAACAGTAGATATTAAAGTTACTACAATCGTATTAAACTTTCAGTCACATGGTGTACCAGTCGTTAATCCACAATATTCAATCGCTTCGGGTTTTCCCACCTCTAGCAAACTGCCAACGTTAAACAATAAATCAACAACAAAATAAAGAAACTTCTTATTTAATCCGCTATCTTCCCCTAGCTCTAGAGGGACTTCATTCCAATGTCTCTCTTCCATACCCTTTACTAATGTGGATGGTATTGCAAGCTTATCAGCTAATGCTTTGAATAGAAGTGCTCTTTCGCAGTAAGAACCCTGTCGAAGATAGCCTATTGGTATCATATTCGTCCCAAGTTTTCCCTGTATGTACGAATGCTATATTAATAAAGGGCGTATATTTGACCTTTAACGAATTTGTCCTTTTAAATTATAAAAACAACATATTACACTTAAACAAAGTTACGCAAAGGTGGGGGGCGTTAAAATTAGTAATATTGTGGTTTTCACCATGTATAAGGTAGGTACATAATTGATAAAAAGGCCCATTACAATTCGGCTAAATTGAATTTTGATTTAAGTAATATGTAGGAATTTAAGGTTTGAGGAAATTTATAGTAGATAAATAAAGAAATTAAAGTGATACATCTGCAAAAATCATAAGCGTTAGGTAGGTGCAGGGCGGAACTATAAATTTTTGATTTCATTGTTTAATATCGACCGAAATAAACTAACAATAAATCTCGTTTTGGTGAATTTCTTCTAGTGCTTTATTGCCCAATTAGCATATTCATAAAATGTACACCACCGTAAAGATTTTATTTTAAATGTTCAATTACGAAAATTTGCAGGGTACTTTACTAACGTTTATGATATTCTTGATATTCTTATAAACTCGGTTGATGACATCGGTTAAAACGAAAAGTCTGGTGTTCTTATAGTCAATTTTTAGTAGTCCTGCAAATTTATCATTCAAACCAATGTTAAAAATATCGGTTACTTTGACAGTAAACTCAGATATAACGTTATGTTTTTAATGCTAAAAATCCTTGAAATGATCCTATTATTGCCGGTACTTCCCCATAGGCATCTCGGTTTTCTAAATGAAATGTTGCCCACCCACAATTGCCTTTGTTATCATTATTGCAGAGGTTTGCATATTCATAACTAACTAGCTGACTCGACAGATGTTGTCCTACCTTAACTATGAATATTTAATTCGAATTGGTATAACTAATAAAAAGAATATTTATTCAAAGACGTAGTGTTTATTATTCTAATACTGTATGATGTATAAAAATGAATCCCTATGTCCCTTCGCAATGTCGCTAATTCTTGTTTGATTGTATTTGTTTTTATGAATGAAAAACTTAAGAAAATTGCGTGGAACATTTGATAAATAAATCGCAAGGGCAATCACTAAGAGTTTGTGGCATCAATCTCGAAAATCCATGTATTCACATGTCACCTGTTCCCCTGTAGGCATACCAACAAAATTATTCATATACGCACCAGAAAATGAGACGAAGAATGTTGTGTATCATAGAGCATTGATATAATAAATAATATTTTTTGAATAAATATTTGTTTTGTTAATTACACCGATTCGAATTCAATATTCATAGTTAAGACATGACAACGTCTGTCGTATCAGCTAGTATACAGATATCAATATAATTCTGATCAATGTATGTGATATTTGCAGTGCGCATTCTATCAATCGCTGACAGTTTTATGAAACAACTGGCAGTGATGTAAAACGCCAAGTTGATGTGGTCGTTTAGTTTTCTTAAAATTTTTAATGTTCCGCGCAATTTTCTTAAGTGTTTCTTTCATAAGAACCTACTCCTGACAATAATAAACACAACAAAAAAAAATTAGCGAAGTTGGTCCAGCCGTTCACGCATAATGTCATGACCAAGGGCAATAAGGATTTATTATTATTACATATATAGATGGGAAATTCCATCGTTTATTGTCATTACCATAAGGCCTGCATAGTTAGGGTAAAATATATTTTCGAAATTGTTCGGTCCATACCATGCAAACTTCTGCCGGAATGGTTAATGCAAGACAAAATGTTTTAACTTTTGAAGAAAAATGGTTGACGCTCATTTTTTAACTAACTCAAGTATGCTGCTCTGCTTGTATTAAAATGTACACATACTTATGTCGTATATGACCTATAGCACTTGGTTATTACGTCAAAATATTGGCAGTCTCTAGAGTGACGCTATAACCGAGTTATAGTGTATTTGATACCTGATAACTTCTAGTTGGAGATATCAAAATTCCAGACATTTTTTATGTATAGATTTAATTTTGAAATCATTTAATTAGTACAACCTATACAGTGTATATTTACCTTCAAAGCGTTAATATGAATCTTATAAGAATGTTGCTTTTCCGCATTAGTGAATTTCTCTGAACCTGACATTCGTTTTGCTATAAACTCGGCAATAATCTTTATTTGGTCGGCAACCGAAAGTGGTAGAGCTTTTTCACCATGACTTAAAATGAAAAGGAAACGTCAGTTTACTTTAGATTTCGAAAACCGCTCCAATTTACAGTTTTATGTATAATTCTTCCAAATATTCCGTCAAATATGGATCCGGTGACAGACCTCCGTAGTTGATTTCAGGAGATACTCTTTCAAAAATGATATTACAGAGACTGGTGGCACTAGCTGAATACCCGCTAACATTGGAAAGCCTTTTGTCTTTTTGAGTACTTTCTTTGCGGCTACCTGAGGGAAACATTGGGTATTAATTAAATTTATTATACTTCTGGTTCTCAATATAACCCGACGTTGTCGTGGTAGAAAATCATTACACTAAGGTCGGCGTTAAATCAAAATATTAATTAGATACTATCTTAGTTTCTTTGAGGGATATTGTATTGTTAATTATTTATATCATTATTCACCCTAAAACTGCAAAAGAAGTAGGACATCCTTTTTAAGTCCTCAAAGCATACATTTTTAGGGTTTTTACTTAAAAAGTAATAATCCATTGGCAACAATAACACATATATAAAAGATACACAACAGCAATAACGTTTATCAGGAGTAACGTTAATCATTAGAAGATATATTGGTTAAAAACTTTCAGTCATCACTGCTGCTTAGAAAGAAACAGAAAATAAATAAACATTATCTAATATTTTTTTACTATACGCATGCGCGTTAAGCAAAAAAAGAAAGTTAACCTACTTTCTCACTTAATGTATTACCGCCACCTACAAGTTCGCATGGGTTGCCTACTTTAACCAACCCCTGCGGTAAAGTGTGAAATACGCCAATGAAATTAGCCAAAAAAAGCTTGAAATTTAATCTAATTATTTTCAGGTAGAGGTATAGGAAATGAGGTAAATGTATGTGTCAGTATTATACCCCTGAATTTAATCCAATTTCGAACAACTGGAAAATTGTTAAATGTAGTGACAATTATGGCGCAAGTAATTATTAAGTATGGCAGGAAAGACATCCAGACCATCTTGGTTTGTGTATCTAATTCGGTGCAGTATGTCTTCAGTCATGCTGTTCTTGTGCTTTTCCCACAAAACCGAAGACTGTGTTGGATAAGATGTTAATAGAATTGCGAACAGTTGGTGAATTTTATTTGTCGTAGATGCAAATGCTGCATCAGGAAGTGTCAGATCCCAATTATTGTCATCTTTCAGCAATTGCAACTTGCGATTGTGATTCGCATTGTTTACATGTCTCCTATTTTTACTTGATTTGTTCTATGTAAAATATCATGGAATGTCGGTATATAGGTACTAATGTTTGTGCGAATCGTCCGAAAACGTCAGGTATTTTGCACAGAGTGACAAATTCGGTAAGTGTCGTTTTTGGTGGCTCAAATACCCATTAGAGAGTATTTTCTTCAATGAAATATGCACGTTAACCGTTTTCAAGATTTACCGCAAGATGGTGTACGGTTAGGTCTCGTTCGTGTATGGAAAACTAATAAATAATATGTCATACATTTTTATTGCTACTGATGTGTCTGCCAATTTGGTATAGTGATATTTCATCATTTTCACTTAAATTATGTGTTTCAAATAGTATCGAATCACTGCCATTATTAATGTATATGCAAATGTAAATACGAGCTTTGTACATTTTTGAAAGCAGTGGTGAGTAGGGTACCACCCACTGATGATCACCTTCAACTTGATTTCTAGTGTTTGCCATTCGCATTGTGAATGTGCGGCCCCCATTTTCGGCCTTGATACAGTTCATTACCGACGATATCCATAATAGTATAATTAATACATACATTTGGAATTTCTGCCGAAACCATTTGTTCAATTTTTTCTGGGCGGATTTTAATATCAAGCCAAATCAAAAAGTGTAGGACGATGAGGGTTCAAGTAATGATAATTTAGGATTTTAAGTATTTTAATAAAAATTAAAAAAAGAGAAAATAGTTCTCTACAATCTTATCTACATGACTTGAACGACTACCCTTACATAGGATTAACATACAATTAAGGCATACTACTCCATAGTATCCATAAATTCATATTCAAGTCACTAGTAGGGTTGGTACATCTTTTTTGTTTGTTCAAATCTGCAAACTAACATCTACTTACCTACTGTGTTAGTAGGTCAATTATGTGCAGGTGATGAGACGACTTACCGTCTTCATTAACCCTGTGATAGTTCCCTGCCATTTTTGCGTTACCCAATTATCTAATAAGGTAGGGTAAGATTATTATTCTATTCATCATAATCATAAGGTCGTCAGTCCTAAGACTGCTTGGACACCCACCTCCACTCTTTCCTATTTCCCTAAAACTAGAACAACCCCCATCCTTAACATCATGTGTTGTGACACTTGACACTGACCTACTGTCAATTATTTCGACTGACGACATCACCTATAACTTTAAAAGAACAAAAAACTACCTTAGACTGTCTGTAAGCATCGCCTATTAGAGTTAATCCAATTTAACTAATAGTAACAAACAATGCATAAGTACAAAAATACAAACGAAATAGATCACTTATGCTGCTAATTACTAACTGATTGAATGCGGCGTTGCATTGTCGCTACCCTGCATGATCCTGTCAGATTTGCCCTTGCCTGTACATTCAAATACGTTTTTCTCGAAAACGGTCAATTTTCGAACCACCAAACATTTACATAATTTTCTTGCTTTGTATTGCCTATCACCTCATGTACGCTTCATCATTAGAAGGTTGTCAGTCCTAAAGACTGGTTGGACACGTACCTCCATTCTTTCCTATCCTGAGCTAAACTTCGCATTTCCCTAAAACTAGAACAACCCACATCCTTAACTATTTGCGAACAGTAATCTAATCTAGGTCTACCTCTACCCTCATAACTCCCGTTTCTGCCTCTAGTATGTCTCTGACTATACCTTCATGTCTGAGAAGGTGTCCTACCAACCTATCTCGCCTATTTCTTAATGATTTCTATGGAGTCCTCTGTTCTCTTATTCCTTCTAATATCTCTTCATTTCTAACCTTCTCTATTCACGGAATTCGAATGTACATTTCTTTATTAATATTTACGTCATCGGAATTTTATAATAAAAAATCTAAAAACTCTATTCGATCAGTTCACATTTTTGTAGCATGCTGTTAGTCTAATTCTTTTCATTCTTACATGATGGAACACAACTCTACTAATATGTGCCCTCGTAGCTTTGCTTTACCGTACCAGAATGGTCCTGACTTGAATCAACAGTAAATAATCGCATAGCATAAAACTTGTTCCTTCTCAGATCATAAATTAGAAGAAATGTTTTGATAAAATAAGGACTTAAGATACGAAGATGACGTAAGATACGAATTTGGTCAGAAAATATTGTTAAAAATATCAAAAAATCCGAACACGCTCAAGGTCTTACTCAGTACTGGAACTCAGTAATTGTTAATAATAAAAATAAAACTTTATAAATTTCTTTAGTCAATAACGTTTATTATGAGTTAGTAAATTGGCGCAAACATTCCTTGATTTCTCAAGTTTTGATGCAGTAGGTTACTAACTGTGAAACATATAAAACAGTATTTTTTTGAAATTTAGAAAAATAAATAATAACAAAACAATAATAATTTATTCCCAACTCTAATTCCTAGGGTTTAGCATCTGCAGTATTCATTAATTCTACTCTTTGTGCATTTTTTAAATCTTCTGTGCGTGGGTTTGTAATTAAACTCCTCCTAAACGGCTGGACCAATTTTGATGAAATTTTTTGTGTGTGTTCCAGTGGACTCGAGAATGTTTCAGATTTATAATAATATTATTTACATTTTTTTAATTTTTTATTGATTAAAAATTTTTGGAAACATTTTAAAACAGTCGCTCCTGCTGTCTCTACGCTTATATCTTTTAAACTACGCAACGGGTTTTAATGCAGTTTTTAGCAAAGATAGAGTGATTCAAGAGGAAGGTTTATATGTATAATACATGCATATTATAGTACAGAAAAGCCGAGAACTTGAAAGATTTTTAATGTGATGTCGTAACAAACATATTTTTGTGGGCTTACATTGTGCACATTGGCTACACCTTACAAGATACGAGGGTGGATTGATAAGTTTCCGGCCTAACCAAGAGATGACGCCACTAGGCCTACCTTGAGGTGACATTCTATAGTACCATCCTTGGATAGCTTGTAGCTATAGCTTCAGCCCGATCTCCTTGCTAGTGTAGGTTTGACAGCACGCTGAACAAGACGCCTCTGTGGTTTTCGTAAAAATGGAAAAGCAGGAAAATCGTGCTGTCATCAAATACTTTTATTTGAAGGGGTTAACGCCGAAGGAAATTAAAAAAGAGATGGACTCAACACTGGGGACATCCTCCCCGTCATATTCAACCGTTAAGCAGTGGGTTTCCGAGTTTAAAAAGGGTCGTGTGAGCACCTCTGATGGGCCTCGCTCAGGACGCCCCGTTGAGGTCACAACTCCAGATATGATCGAAAAAATTCATCAAATAGTGCTGGGAGACCGCAGATTGAAAGTGCGTGAGATAGCTGAGACCTGTAAGATGTCATATGAACGTGTGCAACATATTTTGCACCAACATTTGCATATGGAAAAGCTCTGTGCAAGATGGGTGCCGCGTTTGCTAACAGTCGACCAAAAATTGATTCGAAAAAACATTTCTACCGCAAATTTGTCATTGTATAAGCGTAATCCAAGCGAATTTTTGCGTCGATTCGTAACCGTTGACGAAACGTGGGTCCACCACTACACTCCTGAAACCAAAGAACAGTCTAAACAGTGGATTGGACCAGGGGAACCAACTCCAAAGAAGGCAAAAACAATTTTTTCGGCGAACAAGGTTATGGCTACTGTTTTTTGGGATGCAAGAGGTATTATATACATTGATTACCTTGCAAAGGGTAATACTATCACTGGTCAATACTACGCAGACTTATTGCAACGTTTGAGCCACGAGGTGAAAATTAAACGACCTCATCTGGCGAAGAAAAAAATCTTGTTTCATCACGATAACGCACCAGCGCACACGTCAATCGTTGCGACGGCTAAAATCAACGATCTAAAGTTTGAATTGATGCCGCACCCTCCTTACTCTCCAGACCTAGCCCCGAGTGACTATTTTCTGTTCCCTAATCTCAAAAAATGGCTTGGCGGTAAGAGATTTGCGGACAATGAAGAAGTAATCGAAGCTGTAAATGGTTATTTTGAGGAGCTTGACGAATCAGTCTATAGAGATGGCATTAATAGACTGGAACACCGCTATGAGAAATGTATCAGCCTTGGAGGAGATTATGTTGAGAAATAAAAAAAAAAAATTTTTAAAAACCTTGTTTTTCTTGGTCAGGCCGGAAACTTATCAATCCACCCTCGTAGATCAAATTAATGTACTCCAGAATGGTATATTTTTAAAAGATCGATAAAAAGTCCGCGATTGTATATGTTTACCTCCCAATTATAAGTATTACTTACAGAAGAAAATTATCGAAATACCTAGGAAGCTACATAAAAATACAGATTACGTACCAGTTTGTAAAGTGCTTCTACTTGAGCATTCCCTTCGAAAAAGGCAAGGAACCTTAAGAAGATCGCTTGGTGTCGTAAAATCAGCTACGTAAATAGTTTTGCACGTTGAAATTTGTTGTGATTCCAATATTTCTAAGAATGGAAAAGATCCTCTCCAACAGCCACATACCATGTAAAATCTGTCACGAATGCAATCAGTTACATCAAGCCGGTTTTTATCGAAGAATTTTATTGGCAAGTACAAATCATAAATCATGTCCATTAATCGTTCCTTCATGAGATTTATTTCTCTGTCTTTGATTTCCAAATTTTTAAGTCTAAAAATTGCAGAATGTCATGTGACATTCGTCCTATGCAATGTGCCCTTTCTAATTATTTATTATTTATTAGAAACAAATCTGAACTGTTCAGGTAAATAACCCATTCATTTATAAATAAACTGCCGTTGTTCACTCGTTTCGAGATATGCTTTCACTGACAAATATTCTTATATAGAACACCACGAAACATATATTACAGACAACATTTTAAAAAGCAGAAATTAATAAATTAACACATAGTCAATTGATTAATGCCTTTTTATTAAAGTGGTGTTTGTAATAAATATGTTTTGCAGAAAATACCACAAATGGCGCGATAAACGCCATTTGTAGTACGATGCTACATTTTAGGATTACGTATGCTCCAACAAGGTCCATTTAAATACGTATATGGATATCTACTTGCTAAAACGAATCCCGGCGTAGCTAACCTCAACGTGATAGGCACGTTACCATAATCGAATAAAATAATTCGGTCTGTATTCTGTCGAAACTGTCGAAATCGCGATCCGCGTCTGGCAGTTTCGACAGAATACAGACCACTTCGAATTATTTTACTTACACTGTTAGAGCTTCATTCGTTAAGTATTGCAATCCAATACTTTTATATATAAAACTTCTAGATATAAATATTAGTATATATTTCAAAAGTTCCTCGTCTTCAACTGATTCCTTTAATTTAGACAAGATTCGTTCAGTTCCTGAACATTCTGAAAAGTAAACCCTGCTTTCTTGGTCATTAATACTTTGGTCCAAAATAGCAATTGCTTTCTTCGAAAAATCTTCGTTTTCTTCCTTTAAATAAATGAATGATCGTGTAAAAGCACTATATATTTTTGGAATTTTATTACATAATAACTACTTACCTAATTAGTTTTCGATCAAATAGAACAGTGGGTTAATTATTTTCAATTAGGAAGAATACATACCGAAAATAGTTGTAAAATTTTCATATACAATTCCTTATCCATAAGAGAGGTTCTGTACTGTTCTTCTGTGCAATAAATGTAAATGATGTCCAATAAAATGGTAAATCCATTTTGCGTCATTTCATTTTGACTTTTTAATATGTCCGCTACAGAAACCTATAGCAAGGCTAGTTTAATTACCAATCAGATTTCTCTTCATATAATAAACCTTAAGGTTACTACTTTCTATTTAAACCTAAGTCTGTTGGTTTCGAAGGTGCAGTCCTTACATGGAATATAGAACTCTTCGATCCGCAAACAGGTCACCTTTGGATTTGCAATGTCTTTATCATGAGTACAGACAATAGCAATCGTATGTAGCAACAGTTGTATTGTCTGTACACTTGATAATCGGTTTTTAGTGAAAATATTAAAATGGAGTAACTATTTTATAAATCATTTCTGTTGTTGTATTATTTACGAATTGGAAGAATGTTTCACCATGTTAGTTTCAATAAACTAACTAAGTATAAACACTCTCGACGTCAAAACACCCTCCCCCTGGTTTTCGGTTAAAAATTTGATATTCAGGTATATATATCGTATAAACACCCTCCCAATTTTCAGTCGGAGAAATGGAATTTTTGAATTTTGAATAACCACCCCTATTCACTAACGCTCAGTACTGAGAAAATTCAAAAACCATGTAAAACGATGTCCTATTGCTAATTTAAAGCACTAATCAACAAGCACTAATACAACGTTTGGATAGCGGTGAATAACTTCTTAGCCACCGAAACAGTACCGCTGAATAGCTTCTTAGTCACCGGTACGGAACCGATAAATAGCTCATCCAAATAAAAAGAAAATAGACTACAAACGTGCATTAATATTCATTCAAGACTACTACCATTTCGACTAAATTTTGTTTTTTTTTAATAACCTTGTTAACGTTCGAGTATCATACAGGGTGTTTCTTAAAAAACTAGTTAGCGTACATGAAGGTCTAGTCAGAGACATATTAGAAGCAGAAACAGGAGTTAGGAGGGGTAGAGGTAGACCTAGATTAGATTACTATTCGCAAATAGTTAAGGATGTGGGTTGTTCTAGTTTTAGGGAAATGCGAAGTTTAGCTCAGGATAGGAAAGAATGGAAGTACGTGTCCAACCAGTCTTTAGGACTGACAACCTTCTAATGATGAAGCGTACATGAGGTGATAGGCAATACAAAGCAAGAAAATTATGTAAATGTTTGGTGGTTCGAAAGTTGACCGTTTTCGAGAAAAACGTATTTGAATGTACAGGCAAGGGCAAATCTGACAGGATCATGCAGGGTAGCGACAATGTAATGCCGCATTCAATCAGTTAGTAATTAGCAGCATAAGTGATCTATTTCGTTTGTATTTTTGTACTCATGCATTGTTTGTTACTATTATTTAAATTGGATTAACTCTAATAGGCGATGCTTACAGACAGTCTAGGGTAGTTTTTTGTTCTTTTAAAGTTATAGGTGATGTAGTCAATTGATATCATTGGCAGTAGGTTAGTGTCAAGTGTCACAAATCTGTGCAAAATAATATTCGAGTCAACACTTTCGCAGATTATCCGTCATATCCAAACATACAAACATACAAACTCACAAACATTATTCCTCTATAAAACTAATGTAGATGTACTTGTACTGGAGCGAGTACCCGATTTAGAACTAGTACCCGGCGAACCTCGCTGGATAGTGACGATGTGTACCGGTATTCAACTAAAGGGGGAAGGGAAAAAACAGCAGCTATAACAAGAAGTATAATGAAACCATACAATTTAAACACTTATTACTTAGTAATTTTCATTCGCACTGTTGCTATACAGACACACTGGCGCCGCCACTTATCCTAAATCGTCAGTTTTGCGATAGTGGAGAAGCGGACACCACACACGTACGATAATTTTGCGGGGTACACCCCAGAGCTAATACAGGGTTTTCGGTTGCGTACTGGACTTGCCTCGGCCTTACAGAGCCTGTTAAAAACTGCAACGAAATGGGTCGCATAAGTTGTCGCTTCCGATTATATGTACGTAGAAGAAGATAATGTTTTATCCGCGTTATTCAAAAGACGGATTGATACAATTTGAATTATCTTAATAAGTTATTACATCATTCGTTTGATTATTTATAGAATATTAAAACTAATACAATAAGAATATTTTTGAAATTATACATGGCAATACGATTAACCCTCTGAATGTGGATTGCCGAAAGCAGCACTGGTGGAATGCTATGGCGCTGGCCCAAGTTTGTCTTACGGCCGATGTGCTATTTTTTTTTAACTTATCTATTTATTTTTACTGATTTTCGTTTTGATAAATTATAAGGTTGCGGTAAGAAAGATATCACAAGTGAGTGTTTTCGTTGTCATGTAGGTATTTCCTCTTATTTGTATGTTTTATACAGGATGTTTCTGAATTAAATAGCAAGCTTTGGAGGGTAGATTTGTGCAGTCACAATTTAAGTATTTACTTTTCAGGCGGGATTATTTAGGAGGCTGTAACTTATGTGACCACTCGCGTAGCAGTATTTACAACTGGTTCTGTAACGCAGAGGTAAATCAAAACGCTAACTTATTACCTTGTACGTACTGTATATATGTGGACGTATTTGTGGTTCCTTTCCTGACTGACTGACAATGGATCAAAAGCATAAATGATAAATCAATGCATCCGAAATTATGTTATTGTGCGTCACTGTTTAGTCTCTCCGCATTTTCGTTATATACCAAAATGTCATCCTCTAATTTAGTTTTTTCACAGTATTTACAGCTTTTACTTTAGTAGTTGTACCCAATATTCCCACTTTTTTATAAGAGTGAAGTAAAATATCGAATAAAATAATTCGAAGTGGTCTGTATTCTATCGAAACTGCCAGACGCGGATCGCGATTTCGATCTTTTTGGATCTCATCAGCGCGTCGCAGACAGCTCCGACAGAACACAGACCAACTTTTACCTGCTGTCTTAACAGCGCGTTTTGGAAAATACTACAAATGGCGCGGTAAACGCCATCTGTAGTACGATGCTACATTTTAGGATTACGTATGCTCCAACAAGGTCCATTTAAAAATATGGATATCTACTTGCTAAAACGAATCCCTGCGTAGCTAACCTCAACGTGACAGGCACGTTACCATAATCGAATAAAATAGAAAAATAGTAAAGTATTAAATTACCAATCCACCATATAATGGAAATACATGCAACATTTTCCGATTTCTTTTTAAAAAATCGTGGACTGTCTTAAGAGCGGTTTCAATGTATGGGATTGTTGGTATATCTTTTCTTTGCAAAATTTCTGTAACAATTAAAATTAATTTTAGTACCTTTCCATAAATAAAAGCAAGAAAACTGTAGCAAATAATAATTTAAATTGGAGGATACCAATTCTTGCTTTTAATACTAATTCCCAAAAATTTTTAAAATCAGCCGAAGTAATCTTTATGTATCCTTAATGTAGGAAATGTTCCTCGAGGATATGATTTTAATATAAAATCGATCCTATCGAGTATTCACAATTACGTCTGTAATAATATTTTCTTACCAATTAAACATTTTATAACAACGGGTGTAAGCATCTTATCACAGCAATATTTGTGATTTGTTAAATTCGATACAGCTTCACAAGTTTTCTGGAGGACTTTCTCATTATTTGTTCTGAACATGGATAAAATACTTTCTTCCACAGCGAAGTCGAAAAGTAACTGAAATTTTGTGAAGTGTAACAATAAAATGTTAAAGGCGTTTACCATTAACAACCTGTCTAGCTGATTCGTAATCAGTAAGAACTTTAAAAATTGTAGCTGCACAGAACATATATTTTTTAGGACACTTTTTTGCCCACAACGCGAATTCTAAAAACTCAACAGTACCAATAAAGTAAGTGGCAGTTTCGGGAAAGTCAAAGCAATTACGTATAACATCAAAAGCTTTCTGGTGCAGATCCGGATATTCATTGTTCTAGAAGAAATATAATGCTTTCGAAATAAAGTTTCTTACAAACGCAATCACTACCAATATTAAACACAGCATGCATTGCACAATGCCACTGTCTTTGTAACGAAGTTGCAACTTTCGGTTCTTCCAACTTGTCGTTGAAACTAAAATGTCAATAGCCAGATGTTGAATTTCGGGAAATTCACTTTTTAAGTAACAAAACAATATATTCGGGGAGAAATCAGTCATCTTAGGTAATACAATTACTGCTTCCTGACAGTCGATAAGTCGACGATGATATTCTAGTGTATTCTTTATTATATCGGGATCTACGCAATTTTGCAGTACTTTATAAATTGAGCTTATCACGTCAGTATTAAAAAGCATCGATGCTATGATTGTATTTGTGACCACTTTGCTCAATATCTGTGAGGAGAACTCTTGTACTTTAGGATCGGTAGCCTAAAGGAACGGAACAAGACATTAGGGTTATAAACGTATCTGTTAAACAAACTAAATCGAAATAGTTTAAATCATTAAGGAGAAGTACAGGTCGACCAACGAATCTGAAGCCGCGAGATGCGCACAAGCGGGAAAGAGAGCGAAAACGAGTAAAGGGTGTCGATATGCTTTTAGGCTCGTTCTCAGGTTCTGTACACTAAAAGGAACACGTAAACCAGATTTCAATGCCGCCTGCGATATTGGTATTGATTTGCTCTCCATATTGCACTGATTCTAGGCAGACTATTCACAAAATAGATGTACGAAATGAGTTCTAGTTAAATTCACGACTACAACGTTGTACGAAATAAGTTCTAGTTAAATCCCTTCCACTTTGTGACTGCGCATACCTCTGTTGCGACTACAGATTCGTTGGTCTATCTGTACACTTGGGTTAGTTACACGAAAATCTTCACTGCATCTAATAAAACTTTTTTTAAAGTCATTGTTAAAGAGTAGTGAAAAGTGAAACTAAATCAATACAGGTTCCTTATAGCTTATATATTCTATAATAGGCAACAATCTGTTTTGAATTGTTTGGGAATACCTACTCTTAATATACATTTCGTAAGTAATGTTAATTATCTACTGTAGGTACATAATTCTGATAGATTCTTCGTAATAGTTTAATTCAGCATTTCCAGTAGTTCTAGTGATAGCTTTTTACTTACACACAGTTCATATGTATTATCAGTATATATGTCTAACATTGGTGAAGAGAAATTATGTTGCTTTGGTTTTTTAATATGGTGATATAAAACTCATTGTCCTTGTTTGTCACATTACTTTTTGTTCCAAGATTTTTTCTATAATTGCACCTACGTAAATATCTGTATTTAGTAGTTTTGATAATGTTAAGTTTAGTATATTTTTTTTTAGTTTAGAGGGATATTTGTTAACCAATCAATGATGATGTGTCATGTGGATAATAACTAAACTTTACTGACTTTAGATACCTGTCTATTATAGGGTGACGCAGTATATTTATTCTGGCCGAGCTATACATAACCAAAAAATGTTTCCAAGCAATGCATATTTCCTATTTTAATATCCTCTATAACAGCTAAAGGACCCAGCAAAATATTAAAGAAAATCGGCTCCGGTTAGATTGCTTGCAATTTGAGTATGATGTTTTTAGTGAGATTCTGATGAAAAGTCCTCATTGTCAAGAGACAATAAAATAAAAGTTTCCTGAGAACGGATCAATGTACCGGATGTTGTTCATCTCATCTAATGTATAGGAATGTCAGGTTATTCAATCAATTATCTCTTCAGCTACTCTAGATATCTAGAAATGTTCAATTCAAAAGTTATTGAAATGAGCACGCAACAGTGACATTTACCGTGATCCTGATAACTATTTCCAAAGTCATTTCAACTTCAAGTGAATTTTGGAATTACTTTGAAGATATATATTAAGATCCCGGTAGCTCTATGGAGGTCACAATGAGCATATTGCGTGGTTATTAGGCCGACCTATACATTCAGATTTAGCACTATTTTGGTGTACTCATAGGCAAATACGAATTTAGTCAATACGGTATCGCCTGGCACAATAAAGGTCAAGGTTTAATTGTATTTATTCTGAAATTGTTAGATATTAGTAAAATGGTTCACAAACAATTCAGAACAGACAATCTAAATTATTTAAATTAATAATGTCGTATACTCACCGTTTGGAAAATAGAATTGATTTTCAGAAGATCGGTATAATTCTTGCAATCAGTTAAAGCTTTAACTGCTGACGGGATATTCATAAACATTCCTAACAATTTTAAACAAAAGTTTAAAATTGATTGGTTAGTAGTTTTACGTATTAAGTCTTGCAATTTCTCCATCAAACCCAGTTGGAAAAGGAAATTTACGTTCGACATCCTTTGTTGAGCATACTTGCAAAGGTTATATATAGCCTAACGTAACGCAAAAGACTTCATCATTCTTTCTCTCTAAATACTTTTCATTTTACCTTTAAAACAATGACTTCTTCTGTACTTGAAAGAAGGGTAACGGAAGTAATCGCTTCCTCTGTTCCATATGGAGTCTGTCCAAAAGGAAGCACGCCAGATTCAGCTTGTTTCTTCCCAGCATCCGTTTTTCCTTTTGGGCCCATTTATTTATTTTTATATTTGACAAGAAATTTCTGACAGTTACTTAGCATTAAATTATGAAGTGAAATATAAAACTTAAAAATCGAGAATACTTGGAAATTCATCTCTAATGATATAGGGTATGTACAGGATGTACGAATATATAATTTTTGATTATTACCTTCCTCTCACATATGAACACACAATGAACATGTCCTCAATGAAAAAAGATTAGAAAATGTACAAGATGTAACAGAAATAAGTGTCGAGCTTGTAGGAGGTGATAGAACACTATAAAACATAAAAATTAAGTTCACCGTTTTCGAGAAAATGTAGTTGAAATTACAAGTAAATTGGAGTAAGTATGACTCAGCGTGCTTGTGTTAACAACCTCGAGTAGTAGCTTACCCTTTTAACGTTTAAACCTTGTATGAGAATCATCATCATATCGATTATTTATTAGTATAGGTCAGTCACTATAAAACAGTTGTTGCTCAAGTAATGTGACATGTATTTACGCGATTGGAAAATATCAACGCTGTAAGCACGAAATCCACAGTTTCAAATACAATGGCAATCTTTAAAATAGTACATCCGAAATAGTTGGCTCCTCTCATGTGACATTGTGGAAAATTTAACGGGCGTCCTCCTGAATGCTAAGTAGCGGTCTAAACCTCTAGGATATAGCACTTTTGTGAATACCTGGATCTTGCGACTCACAATTAGTCTACCGCTTAGATATACATATGAACAACAATTAATTGTTGAGTACCTTAATGCGACTGGACGGATATCATAGTTCACATTCCAGCATTTCTATGTCAACCTGTTTAGCGTTAAGAGTATTTAATTTCTTATGCGATTGAAATCATCTAACGTTGGAACTTAAGTTATATTTATTGTGTAGCACCCTAGGCTTCTAAAGTTTGTGAAAAACTTGAAAGACAATTTGCCGTTTAAAAGGTAAAAATAATATAATAATGGTAAGGGTCATACCTACAGTTTCAGAATTGATGAGGATTGGTAAATGTAATGGAGGTTAAGAAGTATAAATACTAACAAAGTTGTGGTACATAGTTTGGAATACAATCGCAATTTTGATTCGTCAACCTCCACTCTGTGGAGTGACACTTTCAGGAGAAGATTCAGCAACGTCGTCTCCCATGGGCTTTATTAAGCGTGAGGTTTGGATAGTAAGCGAAAAATAGTCCCCTTTATAATTGTTTATAAAGAAATTTAAGGTTGGGTCCATTTCCGAGCCTTCCTCGGAAAAATCTTTTGTGGAGTTGGTTTAAAATTTCCTCTGACGAATCTAAATGAGAATTCAAAATTAAGTTTGCTTGATAGGGCAAGGTAAGTTGTGTGAACCCGGATAAAAATTGGTGATTAATTGTGATTTACTATTCTAATAGTATGTAAATATGATTAAATAATAATCATTTACACCAGACAGTTATTAAATGTTAAAAGGTTTAATCAAGAAACGTCACAACTGCGTGTTTATTCAGGCGCAGATATTGAGTCCGAAAATTTATAAGAAAGGTTTCTAAACTGTTTGGGTGATATAGTCAATATCCTTCTGCCTTTCGCTTTTGTTGGAAAATCACCTTGAAACATGCACTATAACTAAACCGATTCCTCGAACCCAATTATTAACTACTCATTGTCACAACGATTTTGCCCGCCATTAACCCTCCTTCTACTTGGGCTCCGAATTCGTCAACTTTGTTAGCTACTGGTTTTCCCCATGACGTCACATCCTAATTCTCTTGCCTAACTACCTAACCCACCCCTTGCTACAGTCGAACTTGTACACAACAACCCTCTTCTACCTATTTTAACTTTTCGTTAATTTATTTTTTTTGTCTTTATTTTATTTTTCTCTTTGTATTATTATTTCCCTATTCCTCATGTATTGTAGTTACCCTACAATCGAATAAGGAAAAAGAAGAAAGAAACATCAGAGTTGCCCTCTGATGTATCTCTCTTTTTTCCTTTTTTTATTTTTTTATAGTTTTCCTTTTTATTTCATATTGTGTTAATTTTTATCACAGAAATGCGTAGTCTTTCCTCACCATCGATATTTTCCTTTTCCGCCGCGAAATTGACTTTAAAAAACCAAATAGTTTTAATGTCTGTTGCCGCCCTTCCCTGACAATCCCATTCTCAACCCCACTTTTCCTCAACTCTTGCTTGGTACTGGGGTTGGTATAAATGACCACCCTTTCTACAGTACCGATATAAAAACCACAATTACCTAATACACAAATACATACGGCTGAAGAGGACCTTCATTGGTCCTAGAACGGCCTGAGGTAGAGGGGTTTTAGTCGGTAGGTCCGAGGACTCCTTCCTCAGGAATCCGACACTACCCAGTCGTACGGACGGTTGGGTGTCTTTTGAAGATTTCCTCTCTTCCACGAAAACAAAAAAAAACAGTACCGACACCAACCGGCATGGCCTAGAGGTTTAGACCGTTGCTTAGCATTTGGGAGGACGTCGGTTCAATTCCGGGTCCGTTTGCCTTGGTCCAAGTTTTTCTGTGGTTTCCTTAGATCACTTAGGCAAAATGCTGGGTCAGTAATATTCCACAGTCTCATATTTCTCACTGGAACCACTGCCCACACATTCCCACAATTCCTGAAAGGAGCCTGAAGAAGGAATTCCACCTTAACTTCCGGCGTAGCCCGGAGGGACTGATCACAAGCATCCAGTAATGCTGAAACACCCAAAAGTTTTTTTTTAGTACCGACACACTCCGACATTTCACCTACCCAGGCAAGAAAGAAGAAATAAGCCAACAACCAACTTTACTATCCTAAGCCCAGTATATAGATGCGAAAACTGAAAGGCATTTCCGCCTCGCCAACGTGTCAGTGTGTCTTGCTTTACCGTTTCGCCATTTGACTTTTTGTTTTTGTATTTGTGCATCTTTGATTCTCATCTGTTTGATCGTTAGTTTTAGGTTATAATTATATATTGTTCTCTTGGTCGATATTAGTTTTATTATTAGGTTTTTATTGTATATATACTTAAGTTGTGAAAATTGTAGATCATATAAATAAATGTGTAAATAGTGCTGTTCAGATCGTTGAGTGGCGTATCAACTTTGGGTGTTTGATTAATTTTATAATCTGCTTTGTTCAGAAAAACTGAACTGCCGTTGTGACTACAGAGCACGAGAGGTCAAGGTCTAAACCTGTGAATACGTGCGCATCAAGCACTTTTACCTTTTAGAAGTGTTTTGTGGTACAAGATCTGGACTACGGTCACTTTCGCCTGGTCAATGCCCGATTACGTAATTTTTATCTAGTAGTAAAAGTACTTGTGGTAAAAGGTTTGGACCACAGGCGCCTTTGACCGACCAATGCCCAATTGTGACACCCGTATTCACGCACCTAGTGAATGTCAGTCGTTTTCGGGACATTCTTGTATGCAATAGAACCGAAAAGTACTTGATTACTGCCTTTATGGAGTAATTTTTTTAAGATAATGTAGTCACCAGACAACATTTTTGTTTGTGTTGCATCGGAGATTTCCGATATTATATGTAGATGAGAGTTTCATCTTGTGAAAGACCATAAATCAAAACGAATTATCAGTACTGCTTTTCCAATTTTGATATTGATAAATAATCTTTCATTCTCTTCTGTTTTCATTTTGTCCCTATCACCTATCTCACCCGAACCAGCACCCACCCATTCCTACGATTCTTCAAAGCAGCATTGCAGGTGAGAATGAAACACTTAAAAGTTTTTTTTTTACAACAGTGGCTTTATGACCTTTTACCACAAACCAAACACACAAATAAAGGCTTTATATCTTCAAAGTCAAAACAAAAAAAAATTTAACACTAGTCTTGGCAATTAATGTGAACTCTTTAGCTCTGGCCGATTTCAGACCTCTTAACAAGTTAACGATCTCTAAAGCTTTTCCAAAAAAATCTTGTCTTAGGGCTACGCTAAGGGACAACTTTAGAATACTCCTTCAACCCCATCAACCTAAGGACAGTCTACCCCGTCAAACCCATAGCAAGTCCTCAGGGTCTTAAATCAAACTGAAACGATTAAATAATGATGATTCATCATCATAAGGTCGTCAGCCCTATGACTGGTTGGACACGCACATCCACTCCTTCCTATCCTGAGCTAATCTTCGCATTTCCCTAAAACTGGAACAACCCCCATTCATAACTCTTTACGAACAATAATCTAATCTAGCTGTACCTCTCCCCTCCTAACTCTGGCTTCTGCCTCTAATATGTCTCTGACTAAACCTTCATGCCTGAGAAGGTGTCCTACCAAAGAATCTCGCCTATTCCTTATCGACTTCTATAAAGTCCTCTGTTCTCCTATTCTTTCTAATAACTTTTCTTTTTTAACCTTCTATATCCACAGCATCCTCACCACTCGCCTATTGCACCACATTTCAATCGCTTCTAAGCTTTTTGTTTCTGTCGCACCCACGGCCCATGTTTCACACTTTTACAGCGTCGCGCTCCAGACATATACCTTCAGCAATCTATTTTGAATTTCTAAATTAACCATTCGCGAACATAGAAGTGACTTGTTTTGATTGAAACTCACATGACCACAGCCCAAAGAGGAAATGGAAATAGGATCTAGTGGCCCAGGGAACCTTCGACCGCATCTTGATGCAACTTGGTTCAATACACTCAACAGCCGCTCCAACTCCAACGCCCGGATTTCAAAAACCCCTTCCTATTACAAACAGACGCTAGCAAGAAAGGAGCTGCTGCCGTACTGTATCAAGAAGACAACGGAAAAAACCAAAACATAATCGCATACGCAAGCACCAAGTTCAACCGGGCGGAGCAGGCCTATCACAGTAACGAGCAAGAGTGTTCGCGGTAATATGGGCTGTCAAACGTTATCGACCATACTTAGAAAATAAACGATTTACACTAAGGACCGACGACCGAGCACTCCAGTGGCTACAACCCATGAAAGACGCCCGTGCCAAATTAACTCGTTGGACGTTACTGCTTTAAGAGTTCACCTTCACCGTCGAACATTGCCCAGGGAAGTCGAACGAACTCCCGGATGCAC